CTTTTTCTTTGTTTGCATCGTTATTTCCTGTTTCTTCGTCTGCATCGTTATTTCCTGTTTCTTCGTCTGCATCGTTATTTCCTGTTTCTTCGTCTGCATCGTTATTTTCTGTTTCTTCGTCTGCATCGTTATTTTCTGTTTCTTCGTCTGCACCGTTATTTTCTAAAAGTATAATTAGTGTTGCTTCTGAAATTTTAATGTTTTGTTCTATTGCACAATATTTATCATCACATATTGCGCAATAATTATCATCACATTCAGTTTTTAAAAACGAATATTTTTTATGAATTAAACCATCGTCATTTCTTCTGTCAGATCGACAAAATCCGGAAATTATAATTCTATCAGGATTATTTTTAACAAATTCTATAGCTGCATCTAAAGTACCCTGGGCTACACCTGTTTCTCCGTCAGATCTGATAATAAAATTTTGCGTAATCATTATGGCATGATAGTTATAAAATTTACAAATAACTCTTGAAAGATTTTGCAAGTTCCGATTATAAATTTTATAATAAATAGTTTTTGATATAAGAAAATCTCGATATAATAAAGGTTTTGGCTGGACCCCGGCAACTTTCTTATATCAAGATTCATTTGATTGTAAAATAATTTTAAAAAAGATGCAATAATTAAATTTTAGAATAATGTATGAAAAGGTCTTTTAATATAAAAAAAAAAGAAATTTTTTATTACGGTTCTTGATGATATTTTATGCGATTGTACAAAAATTCAAACATTTTAAGGAGTATTAAACTTTTGTTGGAATGTTTTTGTTAGTGAAAATGACGATCGTCAAATTTGTGAATATCGGCGTTATCGTTATATTTATACATAGAACTAAAATATAAGTTATGTTACACTTATTATGTTACACGTTTTGAATTATAGCCATACGATAAACAATGATAAGAAACAAGTACTTGTACGTACGTATATATGCAGGTACGTATGTACGTACGTACGTACAGTAAATATAAAACGTCACGGACAATTTATTAAATTTCTTAATTTTTGCAAATATAATTTAATTTTGATTATGATAACGCTAACGTAAATAAATAAATAAATTCGATCTGGAACCATATTACGAATTTCCAATAAAGTTTCGGATCGACGATCCCAGCCCTCGCATAGCCTAGGAGTCTCTACTCCAATACCGATACTGCACAGTGCGATTATCTGTATATATATTGCTTAAAATTTGATGACTGATATAGTACCTACGCATTTATGAAATTAAAATTAGTTTGATTTTGATATTTTAAGACAACGCTTTGTTTTTTAAGCATAATACTTTTGCCGTTACCAATGTAAAGATTAAGATAGGCAGGTACTTGTACTGTACTACGTAGAGCTACCCGGGTCGGAAAATAATGACTGTGTTCATAGGCATTCGTCTGATTGGCTAATGTAAATCAATTGCCCAGGTAACTTATTTATACGCTTTAAAGTACTTTTTGGGAACGTAACATTCACTAACAAAAAATTGTAGTGAAAGCAATTTCTATCTCTAAACGAACATAGATATTTACTGTTAAAATTAATCCAAAATAATTCACCTCTCCAAGAATTTCACTTAGGAGCGAATATATCGATATTTATGGTGGTAAAACCGAGTTTACTTATTTGTGCGAGTGATACAAACCCCAAAAAGGAAACTCAACATAAAAATAAACTGTTTGTAAACTAAAATTTACGGTTAGCGTGTTGGGTTAGTGTTAGGGTTGTGAGCTTTAATATTAAATTATAGGTTCTTATATGCAAAATTTCATCCACATTATTTTTTATTA